CAACGGAACTGTCGGTGTTACACACGAGGGTGGCTGCTGCTGCTGCTGCCGGCTTTGTTGAAGTGTTCTCGTACTTGAAGTGTACCGCTTGATTTAACCAAAACGTTGAAAGTAACCAAACGTAGCGTATCCGAGTGTTTGACTGACCCCTCTCTAAGCGTAATGGGCAGTAAGGTGACAAACTACATTTAGAAACATCGTTTACGTGGTTCAAGTATAATTGAACCATAACACTTAAATGGTGCAAACATTTCTGTACAAACCAAGCTGGGGAATAGCTGTGTTAGCTTTAAAATTGCACATACACCTGAGTCTGTGTAGGACCTACATAAACATGTTTATAAACTACGTTCAAGCATACATAACCTAGGTCTGCATCTGTTGGACAGAGATTATTTTGCCTACAATACTTCAAAAGAAGTGAAAAAACATGAAATGTTCTTGCTTCTGAAAAGCTACGTGGGTTTCAGAAGGTGCTTAGAAACTTGGGAAAAATATCTTATTGCCCACAAAGTTTGTAACTTTTTGTCTTGTTTTGCAGTCCTTACAATCTTCGGCAGTATCTTTTACACACGGTTTTTACAGTGTGTAAGTATGCAGTGTAAAAGAATAGACTGGCCATACCATGTAGTCTAATTGATGGTGGTTCAGGATGGGTGGGGTTTTTTGCTTTAAAGTCACAGTTCTGAGAAGATGTCTGGGGTTTTATGGCTTATAACACACTTCTTAAAGCATGCACATGGTATCTGTGGTGCTCCAGAGTGTTTCTACCAAGAGGTTGCGGAATTGAAGCTCTCTCTAGATAGAGATCTCTTTGTGTAACAGTAGAATGCAGTGGTGCGTGACAGTCTTCCTCTGAGATTTTCTTTTTATGTGTCAATCTAGTATTTTTCAGTGAAAATGTAGCCTGCTTCTAAAATAAACTTTTTGTCTTCATTGCTGTATGGAAGTGTATTCCTGCGTATCAATTCGTACAGTTGTGTTGAGAGGCTTGTGGAAAATGCTTTCAATGTGCTGTAGGAACAACGAGAAGAAAATCTGATAGTGATTTCTTTCTCTCTTGACTTTTGTTTCCAAAATAGGGATGTTGTGGAAACACAGGAGCATTACAAGAGCAGGTGGCGATCCATCTGGGTTATGTATCTTACTATGTTTCTCAGTAGTGTAGGTGAGTAAACACAGGTGGATTTCAGTGTTATTTTCTTAATGTATTTTGGGTTGAAAATTACAGGGTTTCCTAGATTTCAACTACATAGCACCCTTAATGCTACTCTTCTTGTATAACCTTAAAAAGGTGCATTTTCTGACTTTTCAGAAGAGAAGGCAGGACTAGCAAATCAAGCAAAAAGTTATATTTAGTAAGATACGTTAAGTAATGACTAAATGACAGATTAAATCTTTATGTTATGGCTTTGTTATAGTTTGGGGTAAAATGTAGCGGCACAGAAAAATTATTGCTCAGAACCACACAGCACAAAGGTCCCACTTTTATAATTTATTTACAAGTGAATCTTCTTGGGAATGAAAATAGAAATAATGCTGAGTTCTTAAGAGGTAAGATCTTTGTGGGAATGTATCTATTTCACAATGTGTATGAGCGCTTGTTTTCTCCTATGGGATTTTGCCTCTCCACTGCAGCACATGTCTCATTCCTAAAGAAGTGACCCTGGAAACATGACTTTGGTTGGTTTTTGACTCCTGGGAGTTTTCTGTGGGCCTAGAAATGATCTTGAAAATAATAGGATACTTCAGTGATTTTTTTTTTCTTAATTTGATGAATTAAAATTTCTTTTATAAATGAATATAAATATGTTAGTATATCAAGAAGTAATTTTTACTGTGGGGACCTTGTTGTCTTTCCACTGGGAGGAAGAATCCCATGCAGTTTGCTTGGAACATCAGTATTCCTTCCATAGGAGCTGTTTTTGTTTAGTGTATACACACCTATAAAATGTCCTTTTATAAACAGTTTCTTCTGTTAGTAGGAATTATCACTCCTTAAAATAAGCATATAATACATTTTTTTTTTCCAGGTGACAGACTCCTGCAGAGTTTTAGACTATAATGCACTTTAAGAGCAGAAGAATAAACCTGTAATTACTGCTTCAATAAAGGGAATTAGTGATAAACGTGCCAAATAAAGTAATTTCAGTTGTGTTTTTACTGCATTGCAGGTTTCTCAATTGTAATTATGTCTGTGTGGCCATATCTCCAAAAGGTTTGTATCTTTTTTTTTTACTAATAAGAATAGAAAAGTCCTTCTCAGAAAGTATGTAATCCAAATCTTTGCATTTTACTTAGGAAAAGAAACAGTAAAAGGAAGTGTGTGGTTATTAGAGACTTTTATTTTGCCATCCACTTAGACAGCTTTCCTTATTTCATGTAAAATCTGTCAGTTGATTTCCTGAATTGATAAAGGTAGAGCATAATCCGGAAATGTTTTTCAATGTAATTTCACTCTTTTCTTGGACAGTGAATCAATAGAAATCCCTTTATCTGAATGCATTTTTAGTGTTAAAACATGCAGAAGGCTGGTCTGCATTTTGAAAAGGAAAAGGAAAAAGGGAAGCTGAAGGTAGCGGTTGTTCTGTAAATGTCAGATGGTTGCACACAGACCTTCTTAGTATTTTTAACAGGGAATTGCCAAGGTGCCTCGATAGTGTTTTAAGTTTGTTTGGTTGCTTTTTTTCCCCTCTTTGTTGCATTCTTGTTAAAACTGGCATAAAAGGTGTCTAAAACTTTAATCTGTGCTAGGATTTTACTGCTCCTGGAATTGCAGAAGGAGTTTCAAATGCAAATTTTGAAGAACATATCCTGAGCAGAGTCCTAGAGGTATTGTTAAAATTGAGGCTGGTGCTGAATTCTTGGAGAAGAAAAGAACATGCATCAACAACCTTGTTAAATCAGGATAGATTTAGGCATGTAAAGAGATTACTTCAGAGATTCCTTGTTGATGGCATGTAAACTCCGTACCGTACTGCTTAAGTTATGTCTATAGCCTGTAACAGCAGCAGTGCTGTATGGAAACTACTTTGAGTTTGCTGCAAGAGAGCTATTTCCAGTCTCAGAAGCAAAGCACTTTTTAAGTCAGTTTATGCATGGCCGGAGGGAGACAAAGTTTATTTTCTCTAGTCAAAAGACTGCATGAAAACAACTGCCTCTGAGATCTGGAGTGGTGTGTTTATATTAAACACTGCACAATGCCATGCAGACACATTGACTCATTTGGTAGTAGCTTAGGTTTGGCACTGCGTCGCGTAGTGCCATATACGCTCAGAATTGCAGTGAAGAGTCTTAGGTATTTCAGATACTGATTCTGAAACAGTTTTGTTGCTCTTATAAAATACTAAAGTACTTTACCCATAGCACTGATTAATTTGTTTCTGCAGATTGATCCAACTGCAGACGCGAGTTTCTTGGGCTGGATTATAGCTTCATATAGCATTGGCCAAATGGTTGCCTCTCCCCTCTTTGGCTTGTGGTCCAATTACAGGCCAAGGAGAGAACCTCTAGTCATTTCAACTGCTATTTCAGTAGCTGCTAATTGTCTTTATGCCTACGTCCATGTTCCTCATTCACACAACAGATACTACATGTTGGCTGCACGAGCGCTGGTGGGATTTGGAGCAGGTAACCACAGCACAATTTACATCTCTGAAAATTCTTAAATCCTGTGTCTTGTGTAAGATAGTTAATGTTGTGTTTTAGTACCAAGTTTACCATTATGTGAATGATAACATGTTACTGAAAGCAAAGAGTCAGCCAACATTACTGTATAATAAAATCTTGTAATTGTGCAGTTGTGTATAAATACCAGAGGGAGTGCTGGGCTTAATATTCTTGCAAAATAAGAATATAAATTAGCCTTTACATGAACACTTTCTTGTTTGTTGTTTGTTTTTTTTTAAGGAAATGTGGCTGTAGTTCGATCATACATTGCAGGTGCCACTTCTCTTACGGAGAGAACAAGTACCATGGCCAATACCAGTGCCTGTCAAGCAGTTGGCTTCATATTAGGACCAGGTAAAGCACCTCTTCTTTCCTTAACTCTAATACTTTTTAGGATGAAATTGGGCATTGGAGGTAGGAATCCTCAGCAGCTATGTTGGGAATCAGGTGTAATTATGGCTTCTCAAGTACCTGTCTACTTCATGGAGAAATGTGTTAGCCTTGCCTTGTGTTGTGAGGAGAGACTAGCAGTTTTGTCCTGAACAGCCTGCACTTACTGCTTATGTTCTATAGCTGGAGATTACGAGTATCCAGTTACTAGAACTGAAGTGCTCTCTGTATGGTAATATAATGAGGTGAATGAACATTTAGGGCTGAAAGTTTTTCTCCAGCTGCTTATTACTAGTACTGTTGATGGAGCATTAAAAGATCTACAGCAACAAAAAACCTGCTTTCTTTGTGTGATTTGCATAGAGTGTAAGTTTAGGTAATTCCCTTTCCTAATTTGGTAGGGACTCAGTCTGTTTCCTAACAGCAGTAAGAAAATGTTCTTCAAATCTTTTTCTCAGCACCTCAGTTTAATTAAAAACCTCCTACAACTTCTTTTCTCTCTAGTTTGCCTTTAGCAGGTGGGAGGGTTCAGTCCCAGGACCAAAATTTTCCATGTAGGAGGAAGAGGAGAAAGAGATCAGCTGTCTGCACATGGCCAAGAAAATTAACCATTGGTACACTCAGAAGTCACTTCCAGTTCTGAGTGTCATGCTGTTATTTATACAGTGTATTTGTATGTAACCAAGTAGTTTTCTGGCTAGTTGAGATCCCACTGATACCCATCAGTTTATCTAGAATAGGATTCTCAAAACATAAAAGGTTCAACAGGTATCATATTTAAATTTAACTCAGCAATTTTATGTTTATTCTATATTTTTTCTCATATTTTCTTAATTACTCTCAAGAATTTCTTAATACAGTTATGTTTTTAAGTTTTTCAGACGTGTTTTACCCTTATTGGAGAAGAAGGAATAACATGGAAATTAGTTCAGCTTCAGCTGAACATGTACACGGCACCAGTTTTGTTTGCAGCTGTCTTAGGAGTTATTAATATTATTCTCTTCTTTTCCATATTCAGGTAATCAGGTCAAAAAAGAAATATTCTACCTTGTTTTGGTGGATGGCTTGTAACAAACAATATAGTGCTCAGAAGAAGTAGTAAGACTGAAATATGGAGTGTTAGAGCCAGAAGCTGTTACTTATTTTTCAGGGTTTCTTCAATACCTATCTTTTTCATTAGCCTTATAAATTAATCACAGTGATGTTATGGCTGGAATGTAAACTGGTGAAAAAAGTTCAAGCTGTTAGATTATTCACTTCACCTTGATGTATTTTTGATGTTGATGTTTTCTGCCCATGTTTTTTCTCTAAAGAGAAATAAGGTTAGCTTGTCTGTAGGGTTTTCATTTTCTGTGTCTTTTAAGAATCTCAAGGGGGGATTTTTATGCATTATCCCATTGGTGGCAGTGAGGGGAGGGAAGAGATGCACAGAGATATGTGATATCCCACTAGAGTATTTTCTTTCTTGAATAGCGTGGTGTTCACTGCAGTCAAATGTAGACTACAGGGATGATGTTTGGGAGTAATGAGAATATAAGATTATGCCATTTAGAATTATTTTAATAGAAAATTGACTCAGTAGCAGATCAAATAAATATGTGTATTAATGAAAACAGTTCTAAACTTCTAGAGAGCATCGAGTGGATGACATGGGACGGCAGTGCAAGAGTGTCAGTTTTGAAGGAGAAGGTATTGACATTTTCTTGAAAACTTACTCTGTGATTATAATTTATTACATACAAGTATTTAGAAGTGCTCTAGAGTTTGATGCTTTGGGAACTCAAGGTGGAAAACAGGTTATATATCTCTTTCTAACTGGTCCAGAAGTTGCTTCAGTTGCACATTGTGTCCATGCGTGTTCATAGTGCTGTCTGGTACCCTGGGACTGTCTCTTCCAAGGGACAGGATTAAGTGAGTATGGACATAAAAAAAAATCTCCCTGAACTTGCACTCTGCAGTCATACTTCTCTCTTCTGTATCATGCTGAGCAATATTGTTATTGCATATCAGCTTCCACATACGGCATCTTATTACAAGTTGTATAACTAAATTTGGTTGGCGAGACTGAAGTGCAGTAACTGCCACATAGTGCAACAGTTATGTTCAATATATACCCTTTTTGTACACCGTTCAAAACCATTTGTGAGTATCCCTTTCACTTGAAGAATAAAAGTAAATGGAAGGTCATTTTAAACCCTTTTAAAAGTCTGTGGAAGTCACTAGTTACAGTATTGTATTAGTTTTCTGTTGAAAAGGGAACTGTGTGCACACCACACATGGGCGTTTTGTGTATGAAAACGTACGCCCAGGTTGGAGAAGCAAAGGCTCTGGGATAGTGTGAAGAACAGAGAATTCTGCTGTGTACTTTTGGCCTTGCAAGAGGAACAGAAGGGGTTTCGGCTTCCATTGTTAAGATATTTAAAGAAGTTTGCTTATTTTGCTGTCACTCAGGGCTTGTCAGTCCCAGCGTTACAGTGGGAAAACAGACGGTGCAGCCAATTTGGAAATAATTTTTCCCTTCTTGTCAGAGGAACTGAAGTTTCAACAATTCCATTTTAATTTGAAAACATTATAGTTAGATTGTCAATAACTGCCTACCCACCCACCAACCTGCATGTTAAATACTTAACTAAGTAAGGAAATTATGACTGTTTGTAACTGGCGATGGTGGGGAAAAAAAGCTCAGTTTAAAGCTTAGATTAGTCTTTTGGTTTATTGCAGAAAGTGGTGTTCCGGATCAGGATGCAGAAGGAACCATTGACCATGTTGCTGTGGTAGCAATCAATTTTCTTTTCTTTGTCATCTTGTTTGTGTTTGCTGTCTTTGAAACGTAAGTTTGTCTATTTTTTCTCAAAATACTTCGACATGTAGTGTAGTTAGACTGGGTGTGCATGTAAAGGCTGTTCTGTTGGCCTTGTTTTCTTGACCATACTCTTCATAAGTAGAAATCCATTACCACAGGCAATCAAATTGATATATACTGATACAGAGTAATGAATTAAAGGTCAGTAATAACTAAAAATATGTAGCATGCAGTTTGTGGTACATGAAACATTAATGTAAAAGCTTTTGAATTTTGAAATGCAGACCCATATTCTTAACTTTTTAAATGTTTAAAACCCAAAAAAAATAGCTTAAGTTGGGCTGCCTAAAATCTTCAGAGAAAACTGGCTTGAGTACCTTTTTATTTTAGTTTTGGATAATTTCTTAGTATGGTTCTAATTAGCTCCAAAAGTTCCAGGAATGTTTAAAACAAGCGTTTGATACTGTAAATGCAATTGTATTCTCAAATACACTATTTTACAAGGCTGTTTGGTTTTAACTCAAGAGGTATGTTATTCACTCCTAATTTTCTGTGGGCAAGAAAATAAGTAAACCGTAACTGTCATGACCTCAGACTGAAGTATACATCACCTTTTTAACTTACAAAATACTTGGGGGAGGTAAGATTTATTTTGTGAGGTTTTTAAGCTCTAGCATAGTTAATTAATATACTTTTTTAACAATGTCTCTGTCCTAATTGCATTATTTTTGGAAAATTGAGTTCCTAAAGACTGGTTAGTTGCTAAAACAGAAACAGTATTAAATGTTTATTATTTTTATACTCACAGGGCCTAGTTTTTATCTCTCTCTATTGCTCTTGCTTTGCTTTAACTCCATCATCTTTTCATGAACTGTCAGAAATAAATTAATGATCCTTCAGAGTATGGCTGGTGTGATACAGTTGTCAACTAGTGGTTTAGTTTTAATAAATGATGTGGGACAGCATTAGTTTAGAACTAGCCTGTATTTTCTGCTATGCCCATCGGGAGGAAAGGCTTCTGTATCACCATGTGTGATGTTTGGGACAGTGAATGTATGGAAACAACTGTATAGAAGAAGCTTTTTTTTAATTGATGTAATTTTGTCCTGTCACTTCAGTATAGCTACTCCACTGACGATGGATATGTATTCCTGGACCAGGAAAGAAGCTGTTTTCTACAATGGAATAATCCTTAGCGTGGTTGGCATTGAATCCGTTATCGTTTTCATGGTGGTTAAAATGCTGTCTAAAAAGTAAGTTGTGGGAGCTTATTGGAATTTTCTTTCTGATGTTAGCTGAGTGTGAAAAGCTTTATGGCAGGGCTAAATCTGCATCACTCTCATCTTTTACTCATTAATGAGTTTGGGTTCGCTGTGACAATGAAGTATTTTGAATTTTGACACGGCCATGATGCTGTGGTAGTTCTTTATTCTGTTAACAACCCTCTTCCTTGTCTGTCTTTTGCCCTGGGATCACAAGAAAAACAGGTTTTGGGTTACTGTGATTCTCAGATTTTTCTTGCAGGTGTTTTGGTCAGGCATCTTTTCCACCAACTAATGGGCTATGTCGTTAGATCCTTTATAAATTTTATTTTAATTAAATGATGTATTTAATTGTAATTTCATTGTTTGATAGGACTGGTGAGCGTGCCATACTCCATGGAGGCTTACTGATTGTCTTGGTTGGATTCTTTATCTTGCTGCCTTGGGGGAAAAAGCTACCAAATATCCAGTGGCAAGGTATTCAAGTCATACTGAACTGTCATTATAATGTGTGTGGGGGGGGTGTTAAAAAGGTTTTTATTATTTTGGGTTTTGTTGGGGTTTTGGTTTTGTTTTTTTGGTTGTTTTTTTTTTAATGGTGTGCATAACTTATTTTTGCAGAAATAAAGAATAACTCCATTCCCAGAACAACTGCCACTGAAATGGTAATGCCTTTTTGGAGTTTGCAAGCAACAGTGCTTCCATCCAACCACACAGTAGAACCTGTGGGCTGCCCTGTCACACAGTCCTGGTGCCTGAATACTCCCATGATCTATCTGGCCCAGTATATCAGCTCTGACATACTAATAGGATTGGGCTATCCTGTTTGTAATGTCATGTCCTACGCTTTATACTCAAAAATTCTAGGACCAAAGCCTCAGGTAAGCATGATGTCTAAACAGTTTGTTTATTTCATGTGCTCTCCCAGACTTGCACCCTCTTTATTAGAAAGAAGGATCTAGCTGAAATTCATTTTGTCATCAGCCAGATAATAGTATGTTTCAACCAGAGCAGAAGTTTTCAGGACTCTAATCTTTATTAAAACCCAAGGCAACTCCCAAGAGGAACTGGAAAGCAAGGCTTGTGCTAAAATTTATAGCAGATCTTACAGAGTGGAAATTTCAGGACAACTAAGGCCAAAGCTTGTGGCTTTCATGACTGTTTTGGAAGAGTCATTTTTTTAACAACCAATTATATATTTGGCATATCAGTACAGAATAATGCTCCTCTTACTAAGTATATTACATAAAGACTACGAATATTGTGATACCTCCAGTGTTTGACATTTTGCAGTGGTGAAACACACAGCAAACTGATATTATTGCTTAAAAAATATCTTTCTTCCTTCTTCACCACTTACCTCTTTTTTTTTTGGTATGTTACATTTTGCTGTAAAAAACTAAATGCTTTAAGCCAGAATGCCTTTTTACTGGAATGCTATAGTGCAGGTCACTCAGCAAAGCCTTTGAATTAATGCTTAAGAGAAGCTGAGCAGTACTCTTGGAAACAAAGCACTCAGCATCTTCACGCATTAAGAAAGATAAGCAGTTGCTTAAATACTTCTAAATTTTCTAATTAGGATAATTGGTGGGAATTACTGGGCAGCCCAATAATTCCTATATCACTAACATAAGCCTTTGGTCTTCTATAGGGTGTCTACATGGGATGGTTAACTGCCTCTGGAAGTGGAGCACGAATACTTGGGCCTGTTTTTGTAAGCCAAATATACACTCATCTGGGACCACGCTGGGCATTTAGCTTGATCTGTGGTGTAGTTGTGGCCTCCCTCTTACTCTTGGAGATAGTATACAAGAGACTAATTGCATTTTCTGTCAGATACGGAAGGATGCAAGAAGAGAATTGTTAAATATGGACTTTTTGGTTTTGGGTTTTTTTTTAAAGTCAGACCGACCAGAAATAATACTTAGTTTATTACTACCTTTTAATGAGGACTACCTGACCTTGTTGGCTGTATGCTAAGAGCTGTACACGTGTACTTACACACTGACAGAACAGGTAACTTGGCCATACCCTAATACATGGTTACTCCTGCCGCAAGGGAGCATTTGTATTCCACTTTTCTAGCAGCAGAGGAAGAGATGTGAACAAGCGAGATCGATACGATGGCACATATGAAGCTTGTGCAGTTTAAATGATGCACCTGTGCATGGAATGCAGCTGTGAAGGTCACAGGTTATGTGCATCCTTTCCAGAAAGAAGTAAAAGAAGTATTATCTTGATTCTGTGAATCAGGATTAGTAACTCTTCTGTAACTACAAGATTCGTTGAGCTGAATGCACTTTGTATGGAAACACTACTTCAGTGAACCTCCTGACGTTCAGTTTACTGGCTTGTAAGCACTGGTTAATACGAAATGTGTGACCTTGGAAACTGGTACATGTCAGCACATCTTCTCCAGGATTTCAAATGAAGTAACCAAATTGTAGAGGAAGGTAGGTGCCTACTTAACAAGCTGTTTATGTGGGATTTGGGTATTTAAGTTGGTGAAGAGCCATGGAAAATCACAGCCTTAGTGGCTGTTACTTGAACTACAGTGAACCGTGTGTGCAATTTTTCTTCTGTTTAGCTGAATGCCTTTTTGTAGCAAGAAATATAACCTGCACAGAGGTGAAATAACGCACAGCCTTTCCTGACTACAAGAAGGAAATACTAAGCATGATAGTTTACACTTTCATTGCCATTTGTGAGAATGAATGTACTGTGCTGAGCAACCAGTTCATGTTAATTAAAGAGAACGTCACTGGCTTGTCAGGTGCTGTTACCTGTAGGCTTTTTTCCTGGTAATACAGTACAAGAAGCAGTAATTGACAATGTTTGAATCATTCAGTGGTTATTTTAAAAGGTGAGATTATTTTCTTTCATAATGGGGCCTAAGCTTATCTGTATGGGTTTATCTATTTCAATACTACTGGGTAAAAATAAATCTGTAGTAACTTCAGTAGGAGTTGTAGCTGCTGTTTACAGTGTCTAATACTTGATGGTTACTGAATTTAATAAATGTAATTAAGTATTCCCATGTCCTCAATTGTTCAAACACCAAAATTAAAAAGATTATTTTTTTCCAGTACTGACAGAAGGGAATACAGAGGTTTTTTTTCTCTCTGGGGCTTTCCTGGTGCAGAATCACAAAATGGCTTTGCTTTTATAAGCATTTCTTTTATACGCCAGTTCCTAATAAATGGTACAAGAAATACTGTGTTTGGGTGGTGGAGACAGGCTGCCAAATGAAGTGCTCAGTTTCACCAACCAAAAGTTCCTTCAGCTATGAGAAACTGGTGAGAAATGCAGGAGTTCTCAAAATGGGCAACACAGGATTTAATGTTCTACAGCTCACTTTGTCCTGAGCGTTAGGACAAACTGTGTATGTCGTAGGGGGTTTATTACTGTTGTTTATCAGGTGAGTAACTTCCAACTTAAAGAGATGAGGTTTGGGTACTTGGAGGGATTGTTTTACCTGTAACTTAGTTAAAGGGTTAAGGATGAAACCAGATTCAAGTCTCTTCTCTGCAGTGAATAAGCTGTGGAACACACAATTCCCAGCCCCCCCCAAAAAAAAGGTTAGCCCAGGCACATTATTACGTTTACATGATTAAATAAGAAAAAGCAGGGCTTTAAATTCTTTAGCCATGACTAGTCTATATTTTCCTAGGTCAGCTGTGCTTTAAGCTGTGGCTTGCTTGTAGTGGATTATCACCCTGTTCCTGATGAACTAGCTGACTGGTCTTTCTAAGCATTCATGCCTTTCTGCTGCCTACGTCTTAGGCATTCTTCAATTCCTTGTACTTTCAGCTTGCACATCAAACTAGATTATGTCTGAAGTACAAATAATCAGTGTGGCTGATAATGCAAGCTTTTGACATGCAGTGCTGACCCTCATCTTGGCAAGGTTGACTTGGTACTTCAAAACTCAGTTGATTTAAGATCAATGTACCAAAAACATTTCTTCTAAAAAGTCGCATTTATCTGCATGTATGAGGTTTGTATCTACAGGTACATGCAAAAAACCTTGAAGTCTGCAAAGAGCCATACCTAGTACTTCCTTTATCAAAGACTTGTAGTAAAGTCAAGCAAAATGCTTTAAAAAACCCTCCTGTTAAGCTAATAATGTCCAAGACAAGGTAAAAGTACCTAAAATTAATAAAATTCCTATAAAGTAACAAACTGAATTAGTTACTACATTATGTGTAGTTTGCTTTCCTATCAAATGTGTTTCTGGTTTTAATCATATGTAGGCCAGAGGAAAAATATTAAATACACAAACCCAGTGCATTTTGTCAGTTCAACAAGTTAAAATTAACATCATTCAACAATTTTACACCATTTTTCCCAAGCTTCACCCAGTCCTAAACTCCAAACATACAATGGTCTAAGATTCCAGAGCAGCTCCTGTTATAAATTTAGCTTAATACCTAGAGGAAGGGGCTTTCACTAAACCACATATGAACATGAAACAAATCGATCTGGACAATTACCACTGCATTTATTTTTTTTTTTTTTTTTTTTTATAAAATGCTTGTGCAGGGAAGTTAAAGCTGCTGCTACAAAAAGGCTTAAAAACAGTTATAAAACATATACATATTTACATATATTACTTGCAAGACATAAAAAATACAAGTTATTTACAAATACAAACACTTCAACAGCACAGATGCATTTTCCTTGATTGTTGGCACTCGGTAAGCAGTGGGGAAGGAAAAAAAATACAACAAATTCAGATTATTTCCAAGAAGTTGATGCTATCTAGAACTAAGTTGCTCCAAGTTTTTCTTGAGCAGGTTTATCCATCATTTTGAGGGAAAAAAGGTTTGTATGAAACTTTACAAGCCATTTGCTCCACGTAAACAAAGCAACTTTTCCCTTCCTATTTTTTTTTTTAATCAGCTTTTGGAAGAATTTCTGTGTAAGCTGAGTAAGAACAATCACGTCACTTGAAAGTCAGTGAGTGAGTTTATTATAAGCTCTTTTGTCCAGACACCTGCATTGCTTTAATCAGTGGGGACCAGCCGGGTTGGTAAACATCACAAGAATAGAAGACAGACAGTGCAGCTTCTCTTTGATGTATTCTGGCAACTTATCATTTTCTCCATACCTAGAAAGGCAAATAAAGCACAGAAAAATATTAGATGCTTTAAGTAATTTGTATCTGGACAGTTTATTTCAAAACTTGCCTGTAAGTAGGCAAGCCACTAAGTCAAGGAGATTTTAAGCATATCAAGACACATTAATTAGAGCTTCAAGGCTTAAATCTAGGCTCCCTTTCCCTATATGTATTCTGAAGGTTTTCAGATCAAGAAATTATCTAAACAATGTTTAAGCTGCAATAATCTCTGAACAGACTGTATCCTGTTATCTCCAGCTTTGCACGGAAGCATGCTACTCCGCGCTTGTATTTGTATGGGAAGTGCCCACTGTCCAAAGTGCTCAGGTGAAGCTTTGCCTTTGCCTCAATGCTAACATCTTAACTCCCTAATCTGGCAGTATCTTTAAAAACCAAAAAACAAACCACAAAAAAACCCCAAAACTAAACCCTTGCTTTTCTCCCCCTCCTGCCTTTAAATACTGTACATGAGTAGTGGCTATGCTCTGGAGATCAAATTGATGCAGTCCCCGCTGGTTCTTTTATTTTTTTATCCAGAGTTCAGTCAAAACTACAGGTGTTTCTCTTCATTAAGCTTATATAAGTTAACCAGCTGAGAAGTGATTGAAAAGCTAAGTTCTAATGTTTCCAAGCCAAAACGAATAGCAGCTATAAAGTTAAAGTATACCTTGTATTTAACAGCCTTGCACTGACAGTGAACAACTATTCTTACAGCTGTAATAGACTCACCTCGTTTTCTGGCCATCTGGAGATGTGTAAGTGATAGAAGAAACACCTGCTTGGGCTACTAGTTGGGATCCGTCATTAAACTGAACCCATACTGCTCCACTGGTCAGCTAATGAGAGAAATTGCATTGTGATTTGAGGACATAAAAGACTACATACCTAGAATTTTCCTAATAATTGAAGTGACTAAAGTCTTGTGGTCAGTCTTTTAAAGATCGCATGTGTACTACTTTGGAGTACATAGTCTTGCACAGTCTCAAGAATCAGACTTCCTAAGGTTTCAGATACTCAGCTTTAGTCATCGTTTTCAAATCAGAGTTAAATAAAGAGGTAGCTTTAGTTTAACCACCCCTAAAGACATACTAAATAGGACCAAACATAAAATAGAAGGCCCCTTTGTTCACAGCTGTATACATTTTAAAGTTTGTTTTCATATATAAACAGAAACTTCCTGTCGGGACATGAAGCTTACTCCATCTGGATTGCAGAAAACCATTTTGAACTCTAAAGCTGGTCGCACAGAAAAGCAGAGGAAAAGTTTCTCTGTGAGGAAACAGCTTTTTCTGTTGTATAGGCAGATTCACTCTTGTACAGATCTGGTCCATACTTTGTCATGACACCTTGACACATACATTAGCAAACAGACCAAGTTTAACAAGCTTCAATTTTTTGCTAGAGTCAAATTTAAATGACAGAAAATACCGAAACAGGCAATAACCACCCCAGGAAAACTGTGATAACTGAAATACTTCAGTATTATTTTGGTTTCTCCTACTTCTCTAGTTTGGCATGGTATTTATCCAAGATACGTATTTGGAAGGACCCTGCCACATACCAATTTTCAGATTTAAACTGAACCAGAGCACATCTGAACGTATCTCCCCCAAATAAAGTTTAAAGCTAATGACTTAAAGATACGTATCTCCAGTTCAATAGGAAAAGAAGAGACTCCCCTCCTTTATCAGTATTCATTTCTCACCTGAGAAGCCCAACCAACGTTTTTCACAAAGACGGATTTCAAAAGTTGGG